ACTGTCACACCTAGGACATCTGTGACAGGCTTTGTTTTAATTTCTGAAGGGTTAAATGTGATAGAAAATGTGTAATAAACACCTGTAGTTCTTTTGTCTCTTACCTTGGGGAGCATGTACTTGGCAAAAAGCTGTGCAATCTCTATTTCCTGTTTGATTTCATGTATGTTTGTGCACACCTGTGTATTATATACTGTGTTTACATACATGCTGTGTCTATACATCATTTATATGCTACCAAACTGTCTTATAGACATATGATCTGGTTTATAGATAAATTTTTAAAAAATGGATTCAAATGACTTTTAGTTCTAATGACTTAAATAAACTTTTAACAAAAAGATCAATTTAAATTATCCAAAAAGATAAAAGTCAAAATGCCTTAAAAATTACTAATCCACATGTTTTTCTAGGTGGTCATGAGTCAACAGTGTTGGTTTCTATAAAATGTATTGTGTCCAGTGCTTTTAAGGTTTTTCTTCATCAGAAAAAGATGGCTTGAAACTTAGCATTCATTTTCATTGGTAATCAAAAGTCAACAATTGAAATGGGCAAACTAGATTCAGCATAGAAGGTATAATCATTTATAAATATGTTTGTTAGAGGAGATACTTGATTAATTTGCAAAGTTAAAATACAGAACATCAAGTTCTAAATATAAACTCAAGTACTCTTGGCTTATTAACTTCTTTAACAAATATCTGTAAAATCTTTTAAGTGATCTTTTTTATAACTCTGGTTCTCTTTATGGCATTTAATGTTCTGTAACTGAATAAAGGTAACCTGTCATCAATAAGCGATTTAAAAATTTTATGTCACTCTTCACAGTGGGATGGAAATTTAAATTTAAATGTATTTTTTAAAGTAATAAAGTAGTAAAAGTTTTGACAATGTGGAACATAAAAATACTTTATCACTTTTTCAAAAAAAAAAGGATGTTTAGAGCCCTCAATTCTGTTTGCTTCCTGCTTCAGATATAATGTCATGTTATGTTAAATGATATTCAGATAGGCCCAGGAAACAATATATGATAACTTTGTAGAGAAAAACATTTAAAAAGAGGCAAGGATCAGCTTCAAAAATAAAAAAAAACTTTAGAATTTCTCGAGAGCCTTGTCTCACCTGAGATAAGTCTCTGCCTCTACCTCTCACCCTAACAAGATGAGACAAGTTGAGATGGCTCCAAAGTAGACAAGAATTAAACTCATTTGAAGTTATGTTCATCCTCAGAAAACTTGGAATGAGACCACCATTTGACCCAGTTATCCTACTCAGCATATACTCAAAGGACTTAAAATCAGCATACTATAGTGACACACCCACATCAATGTTTATAGCAGCTCAATTCATAATAGCTAAGCTATGGAACCAACCTAGGTGCCCTTCAACAGATAAATGGATAAAGAAATTGTGGTATATATACACAATGGAATATTACTCAGCCATAAAGGAAAATGAAATTATGGCATTCACCAGTAAAATGGATTGAACTGGAGACACTCATGCCAAGTAAAATAAGCCAACCCCCCAAACCAAAGACTGAAGGTTCTCTCTGATATATGATGCTAACCCACATGGGGTGGGGGAAGAACAGAGTTTATTAGATTAGACAAAGAGGAGTGAGGGGAAGGGAGCGGGGATGAGAATAAAAAAGAAAGAAGAATGAACAGGACATAAATTTCCTATGTTCATATATGAATATATGACCAGTGTAATTCCACATCATGTACAACCACAAGGATGAGAGTCATATTCTATGTATGTATAATATGAACAAATTTGTTCATATTATATACTGTCTTGTATATTATATATTGTCATGTATATTTGAAAAGAGAAGATAAAAAAGTTAAACTCATGAAAGATGAAGTATGTTCAAAAGATAGATTTTTGTTGTGAAGATTACTGAGATCTCAAAATAAAGGGGGATATAATACAAAATAAAATAAAATTTTTGGGTCAATTATAAAAAGTATTTAAAGTTTGTAAAGGTTTAAAATAAAGAAAAATTTGTAAAGGAATTTTTTATGTGATTGAGTTGATAAATATATGGATCTTTTTAGAATAAATACATGGATCTTTATGGAGGCTAAATAGACACCAAAGATACATTAGTGTTATTATAGAAATTATGCTTCTTGGATCAAAGATATTATACAACAGTTTTGCTTTTGTAAAATCTTAGAACCATTGTCTGCAGAATTACTACTTCTAACAGAACAACTTGAGTTAATGTAAGACAATAAGTTATCACCTACGGGATTGAGAGGATATAATGCTGACTTCCAGTACTAATAGTTACCCGAAATATTGTCCCAAGTCAATGAAAGAGATAAGTGTAAAATTATAGACATTAAAGATAAAACCCATTACTCCCTCCTCAAGATTGGTGAAACTGGCCTATTGGATATTTAAAATCAAAACTTGAAGATAAAAGCCAAGAAAGTAAAAGGGCTCAGGAAAAATTAGTCACTATTTGACCCTTGCCCTCTAAGGTCAGGCAGGACCCAGGGAATGATGGGAATACTCTAAGGGACATCAACTCTGGCAAGTCACCTGACCTCCTGATCAGGGAGCTGTAAGGACCTAGAGAACAGGAAGCAGCCAGTGAATATTCTGCAGAGAATTATTGGAGAAGGAGATGTCCCTGATGCTTCCAAAGGAAGCCATGAGTGGTCATCAAGAGTCTGACCCATCCTGGCAGATGAAATGGCTGGTAGAGGAAGCTAAAGAGGCCAAGCTTCTTCTCACAGTTCCCAAGAGTGATCCCGGAGGAATCTCAACTGCCCTAAGTGTAGGATAAGGTCTATTTTTGAACAATTTAGTCTTAAGTCCCAGAAGTCAAGTATAAGCAAAGCACAGATATTACATGGACATTTAAAAGGATAAACAATATTTTGATGTATACTTGTGTCAGTCCTCCTAAAAGTCAGTAAACTAGGTGGTTATAAAAAGAGGGCTCTTGTGCAGGAGAGCCTAGTAAGTACCACAAAGGACTCTGATAGAGTGACAAGTTTGTCCTGAGTTCATTTGAGCCTAATCTCACAAATCTACCAAATTTTCTCACCTCCTACATGGATGGACTGGGTCTATGTTTCTGGCTTTCAATCTAACCCCAAAGCACAGCATCCATCAGAGCTAAATGGGCTATACCACTCATTCCTATTCTGGTAGGAATGGGAATAATTCCTGGGTAGATACAGTGATAGGAGGCCTATCCACCTCCCTCTCCTATCATCTAGATTTATCTAAAGATCTCTGTGTTAGTCTAGAGGAAATAGCAGCAGCCATAATTACCCTGCAGAACCAGGTGGACTCACTAACAGCAGTCACTCTCCAAAAGTGGAAATAATTATATCTATTTACCACCAAGAGATTATGTCTCTTTCTGGAAGAAAAATAGCAGTTTTATGTAAACCAATCTGGTATAGTTAGAGATGCAACAAAGAAATTAGCAGACTGTCCCTCTGCTAGATCCATTAGGATTAGGCAGCACCGTAAGATTCATAAGGATCATGGTCAAAATTTACAGCTGGGTGTTTTGGTACAATCTTTGGTGGGATTCTTTCTGATGCTCCTTCTATCTCTGTTGTTCAGACCCTTCCTGTTAAACCTACTGTCACAGTTGATCTCTTCTCATCTAGAGGCTGTGAAACTCCAGCTGGTGCTGCAGCAGGGCTTAAAACCCATCCCACAAATGGACCCAAATGCCCCGTTGATAGGGTGAGAGGGTCATGATCCCTAATTAGGTGGGGAGAAGGACCCCAAACATGCCTAAATCAACTACAGGAGGTGAGACCTCCAGCTCCTCAGCCACCCCAAAAGAATTTTGGGATCATATCTCTCAGGGGTCGGAGGACGAGAAACTCAGCATGTAAGAAACTCACCAGACACTGCGACCTTGGGTCATGCTCTAGCTTGACCTACTCTGCTCTGCTTTTGAAGTGTTACTTTCCCTTTCCCTTTTAATAAATCTATGCTCTGTTATTTCTGCATTTCTTGCTCACCTGTTTGATTGGGAAGCCAAGAACCTGGGCCTCATCTAGACATCCCACCAATAACAGTTTTGAGGCATGATTTTTGATGGATTGTCAGTGATATGGATTCCTGGTCTCCAAGAACACGTTTCTTGCTTTTCAGCAGTGATTGATTTACATCATAATCTGAATAATGTGTGGGTGGACCTAGATCCTCTACATTGGCCTTTTGACCCCTTATGCCCCATTATTAGGTCCATGCAAAGTAGGAGGGCTCTTATGTCTTATCCGAATATGTTTAACACTATTAATATTAAATACATATTAAATACATATTTAGTATTAAACATAACCACTATTCTGTAAACTGCCCGTTCATATTTTTCTTAGAGCAGTTATTCAGCATCTCTGCTGAAGAGGGTATTTTATTTTGGTTTTGGAGAGGTCTCACTTGAGTTATGTATATTTCCTTTCTTCCATCTTGACCACATTCATGGAGTCCTCTATCTTTTCCTGTCATCCTGGTGTTTGATACATCACCAGATAGAATAAGATTCTGTAAACTGCCTCTGAGAGCAAAGATGTCGTTCAGGATTTGGCTTGAAGCTGCACTCTGTCAGCTTATTCCATAAGAAGTTTTCATTTTCATCATTATCCCAGTGAGGTGTGGGGACCTCTTAGGTTTCTGACCTAGAATGTGCCAGGGGAGGGGGAAGGTAAGGTGGAGGAGAGATTGTAGCAGGTCTTCTTTGGCTGGTGTTTGGGGAGTATAAAGATCTCATCTCTAGTATCCTTACATGGCATATGAGCTAAAAGAAGACGGTTTTCCATGTCATAATGAAGGGCACAGTCAAGATGCTAGATGAAATACTGAAAAAAATTCCGGATGAAAGAAGTTTAGAAACTTGGACTAGAGGTGTAGCTCGGTGGCAGGGTTCTTGCTGAGCATGCCTGGCTTGGATCCCCAACATCTTTTAAAAAAAGTTCAGAAGCCTAGTATTGCACTACTATGTAACTTCCCAGTCATTGCTCCGGGATGCAATGGTGCACTTCGGCCAACAGATGGCGACATAGACCGAAGTTTAAGCTGTTTTTCTTCGGCTGTGGTGGAAATCCCCGTGGAAACCCGACTATTCACAGGGGCTGTCCCCAAGCAGCCTTTGCCTCTCTCTTCTTTCTCACATTACATCAATCTGCGAGGTTCTGACAGCGGCGACGGTGGGATACGGAAAACCACGGACAGGAGAAGAGGTGATAGGCAGCTTTCTAGACCAGCCCCTGAAGCCCTCCTGCTTCCCAGGGACCCAATTGTAGGGGTCAGGCTGGAGGACAAGTGGGCGACCTGGGTCAGTCCCCGCATCCTGTAGATCCTACTGTGGTCCCCCTAGAGCTGAGCTCAGCCCCAGCAGGAATTCAGCTCCTGCACCCCATCTCCAACATTTTCTCCACTAATGTATTATCATCACCTAGTACAGTCCCACTGAATAAATATTTGTTGAATGAAAGAGTGAAGTAGAAAAATTGAGGCCAGGCTCCTCTAAATTGCTTATCTGGGTTCCTTCAGGCACTTAGTGGCAGGGCCAGGAATAGAGCTCAGGGTTTTTGATTTCTAGTTTGCTTCTCTTTCCACCCGTTTGTATACTCCCATCGTATTTCCATTTAGACTCTTTTAGTCCTAATTATTGAATGAAAGACTTCATCCTCCCTTAGAGCGGTTAGGGAGGAGAGAACTGCACAGGGTATTTTTTGTTTGTTTGTTTGTTTTTGGAAAGGTCTCAGCTGGATTATATATTTTTCCTTTCCTCCATCTTGACCATATTCATTAGAGCCCTTTATCCTTTCCCGTCGTCTTCCCCAGATGAAGAATTCAGTTTCTACATCTTATCTGAATGTTTGTCTGTCACCTGAAAGTTTATGTGTATGTGTGTGAGTGTGTGTGTGTGTGTGTCCATGTCCTAAGGTTTTTCTTCTTTTTCTTTTTTTTCTGCATTATAATTTTACATAAAGGTGGGATTCATTGTGATATATTCATTCGTGCATGTAACAGAATTTGGTTGATTCCCCAAGGATTTTCTTAACTCCTAGAGTATGAATCCTACCAATCTGAGGGACGACTGGCATTTGTCTTCTCTGACAGAAGTTGTGTTTCATATTCTATAAGAAAAGTTGGGGTCGGGTCAGAATTCTCCATTTGTCTCTGGTTCAGGAAATGTTTAGAGCATGTGATTTGAGGAACAGAATGGACACTACATAGAGGAAATTTCTTGATGATGTGATACAGTTTGGGAGACATGAAAGGTGTGGGGATGAAGACCTTGAAAGGGAAATGCATGGCAATTTCTTCTTCCTTATTTCTTTCCCCCTGGTTTACTTCTCTTCAGTTTCTACTCTTGGGTGCTGTCTCCTTGTTATTGAGAATACAGCCAAGTGCAGTGGCACACACCTGTAATCCCAGCAATCTATGAAGCTGAGGCAAGAAGATCTCAAGTTCGAGGTTTGCTTCAGCAACTTAATGAGATCTGCAGCAACTTAACAATACCTTGTGTCATAAATAAATAAATAATAAAAAGGAATGGGGATGTGGCTCAGTGATAAAGTGCCCCTGGGTTTAATCCCAATACAAAACAAACACCCCCCCCAAAAAAAAAACAGAATAAAATGGAGAAAAGGGGGGAAAATTAGGAAAAACAAATACATAGTTTTTCTTAGAAGAAACAACAACAAAACCAGAAAAAAATGCTGTGAAAATTTCCATATTTCTTCATGACCTTTATGAAATGTTACAGTCATGTTTTCGGTTAGAGATATTTGATCTAATTACCATTAGGAAGAAATAGAAACTCCTAATGGGAGTTACATGTCTTACAAGTTTTTTTCCTTTTTTTTTTTTTTTGGTTGCCTCTCCCATCTTGTTCCCTGTAATTATCTAACCAACGTACTCTGTTGCAACCACACTGGCCTTTTTCTTTAAACACACAAAGCTCACACCCTTTGCACCCTTTCTTGCCTAGAGTCATGGAGGCCTGAGATCTCAAGTCAAAAGACAGATGCTGAGTACTGAACTCCTTTCTTTCCAAGATATTATTGCTTTATGTAACCTGATCCCCAGGCTGAGGTTCAGCTTGGCAGTGTATCTTCTGCAGTAGTGAAATTTTAGACTTTAACATTAAAATTAGTGTTTGGGATGGTCTATGGATTTTCAGACAGACCTACCCTGCGGATCCACTCTCCCTTTCTTCCTGAACCTTCATCCACCCACTGTTCTCCTGGGGTCTCTGCATGCCCTTGACCCTCCTCTGTTTGGTAATGGGGTACCTCTGTCTCTTATATCTTGGGTTGGACTCCAGGCTTCCTGATGGGGACTCTGTGGGATGTGGGGACAATCACTGATGCACAGGCTTCTACTTCCCAGGGGCACTGTCAGAATCTGCCCAGAACAAGATGCTGAGTGGCATTGGGAGTCTTGTGCTGGGACTGATCTTTCTTGGCTTGGGCCTTACTGTCTACTTTTGGCATAAGAAAGGTAAGTCACCTGTAGAGAAAATGGGGAAGACTGGTGCTAGGACTAAGTGTTTCTGTTGTAACTTTTCTTATCTCAGTTAAAAGGGGGAGCAAAACTAGGGATAGAAGTAGATTGCAGAAATCAGAAAGGCCTGAGTCCTCCTTGTCCCAAGTCAAGTTTGCTTCATCACAGAGGACAGTGTTGGAGGGCGATTTTAGACAGAGAAGCTCTCAGTCCATCCTTACCTGTGCCAAGCAGCTGTTAACATGTGACTTCCTTACAGATGCAGAGACTTTGCTCACTACCTTCAGTGACTGACTCAGTGGCTTTGGGGTGATGTCACATGGACTGGAGTGGGAGAGAGAGCAATCTGGACATTCTTTGAATTTTCTTTTGGAACTTGGGACAAAGAGACAGAGAAGCAACTCTTCCTTTGCCCATGTTAAGGATCTTTTCTGTCCCTTTGTCTTTTTGTTCTTGCTGATGATAGAACAACCCAAAGCTCCACCCACAAGACAGAGCCCTACTCCTCTTGCCCAGAAATGTGACACATGTAAGATAGATAAAGATGTTGGCTGGGTTTGACTGGACACCCTAATACACTTCAGTTACTTTGTTCTTGGCTTCATGCTACACTCTTTCTCATGTGAGTTTGGTTGGAGGAAAATTTTGGAACATTCCACATGGTCTCTGCAGGAAATTTCAGGAACTGTTTTCCAGAACAACACCCAAACTTTGGCTCTGAGTGAGGCTTGCACGATGCTCCCAGACCCCCAGACTACAGAGTGCTGTTGAGATGGATGTTAGGTGAGATGACAGGAGGTTACAGTTCTTACCTGTCCAGTTAAGTATGTGACCTGTGCTTCACCAAAGCACTTAGACTGCTGATAGAACTGGGGCCTTCATCCACATGCCCCTGCAGAAGCTTTGTGTCCACTTTAGTGCAGTATCCTCTTTAATCAGATGCCAGGAGAGATGGTGAGGAGTAGGTAGTTGTACAAAATCACCCTTAGTGTTCTGAGTTGCAGAGAGGCCCCAGGGGTATTGGGTAGGGGGTTGACTTTCTCTAGGGATTTATCTTGTGACTTATTTTTTTCTCTCTCCTTCAGGGCTCATGCACTGATTCCAACATGTTTCTTCCTGTTACCCCTGTTCCATGGTCTACTGCTGTCTTCACCCTTGTGCACAGTTCCTAGCCTCCCTTCTCTCTGGCCTGTGAGGAATCCACCTCTGCCAGGACTGTCCCCCATCAAGACCTGAGTCCCAAAGTGCATGAGCAGCAGATGCAAGGCCTTCTTCTTCTCCGTGTGCTCACACAGACAAACACACACACACACACACACACACACACACTCACATATACACACACACACATATACACACACACACATATACACACACACACATATACACACACACACATATACACACACACACACACACACACATACAAGTTTTATTTGTGATGGACCTTTATTTTATTCATTTATTTTCATTTATTTATATGTGGTGCTGAGAATCAAACCCAGTGCCTCACACATACTGTATCACTGAGCCAAAACCCCAGGCCCCTGGCCCTCTTCTTGTCCTGGTCTTTCCTGAATTTCTGTGACTACTTTCCACCTGACACTGGGAGCTCTGCTCCCTGTGCTGCCTGTTACATCTGTTTGGGCCACAAGTACTTTCAACACGTTTCTGATCTTGTGCTCTGTCTGAAGACTTCCCATGAATTAAATGTCAAACTTCTTTATCTATCTATCTATCTATCTATCTATCTATCTATCTATCTATATATATGTATTTTTTTTTTTTTGCAAAATTAAATAGATTTGTGAGTCCCTTGTGTTTCTGATTCTGATTGAGTAAAAGTGGTGGTGGGAGATACTGACACAGAAAGGACCAGATTCTAGAGGGCTAGTTCAGTGATGCCCCAAAAGGGAGGAGACTAGGGGAAGTCATGGGGCCCCATACCTGGCCTAATTCAGGTGTCATGTAAAAATGTGAAAAAGTATGAAAACATTTAATTGTCCACCATCCGGGGGCTTGGAAGTTGGGGTTGTGTGCAGCATTCTTTCCTGGCTTCTGCTGCAGCCTGATTGTTTATTTGAGGTATTGGAATTATTTTGTGCCATTATGTTACCTAACAATACCTAACACTATAAATTAACCAACCTCACCCCACAAATGTCTCCTGTCATTGTTGACTATGTACATGGAGGTAAAAGACAATGATTTTTGGTTGTGTCTGAATTACCAGGTTATATACTTGCCAGTGGGAATTTTATTAGAAAATAATATGTTGATTGCATGTGATGGAAACTCTACTAATACCATCCCAAGAAAAAAAAATTAATTATTTGGCATATAATTTAAAAGTTCATAAATTAATTTGGCTTCTGAAAAATGCTTATATCAAGGACTAAGATGAGATTCTTTTCTCCTTTGTCTCTTAGTTCCTTTCCTTCTCTCTGACCTTTTCCTCCTGTCTTTACTCTCTTTTCTCAATGTACTTCTTTTTCTACTCTGTAGCTCTTCATCTGTCTGTCTATCTATCTATCTATCCAGTTTTGGTACTGTGGATTGAACCCAGGGGCACTCAACCACTAAGCCACATCCCCAGCCCTATTTTGTATTTTATTTTGGGACAGGGTCTCACTGAGTTGCTTAGTGCCTCATTGTTGTTGAGGCTGACATTGAACTCATGATCCTCCTGCCTCAGCCCCCTGTATTTCCATACAGCTGGGATTACAGGCGTGCACCACTGTGCCTGGCTGTCTCTTTATTATCATACATTTTTCTTGATCTCCCTCTATCTGAAGGATCATCTCTCTGTTCATGTATTAAATGGTTTTTCTCACTTTTTTC